AAAACAAGATAATTATTCTTACACAATCAGTTCTTGCTTAGTAAATCAGCCTCAAAACAAGATCAAAAAGACTTTTTGGCTGATATAAGATTTTAAATCTTGGTAAGATGGACAGTTTTTGCAGTGCATCAAGTTTAGCTGAAACAGACGGGACTTCAGGTTTTAACAACATTCGGTCATGAAGCTTTGCAGAAATGTTTTTAGACAAAAATAATCTGATTGTGTGTCTGGTGTGTGTCATACACTACAACGAACAACTTCCAGAGTCAGCATTGTTTCCATCAGTGACTCTGTCCAAATGTTCAACAAGTCCCTCCCACTACAATCAACAGCACCAAACTACGGAAGACTACTGCTGCCACACCAGAAAAAAACTAAAATATTTGTATCGTGCTACAACGTGACAAGTTTATGTGAACAATATGTTTTGTTTCAACATTTTTTCAATGATTTACATACTAAATATTTTTGTTATTACAATAAACATGTTTTTAAATGACATCACATAGTTGTTTTGTAATATGATATTCAAATAAAAAAAATCATGTTAACACAAGTTTATATTGTAATATAAAATAAAAAATAATACACTGAACAACATATGGGTTACAAGGAATAAAACAAACACTTGGAAAACGGGTCAAAAAAATTTTTTTCCGAGTTTTAAGATTTAAGTCAAGATGTTGACTGAACATTCAAAACTGTGGAAATAATTAGATATTTTTTAAATATTGCTAGAAAGACCAAGTGTTTCAYACTGATATTCAGAAAAGATTTTATTTATTTTTTAAATATAAACCTGTTAATGCACATCTGGAATTATACTTTTAAATAACTTCTTAAAAATCCTGATAGTTTAGACTGCAGTGAGTTTTAAAAGATGATATTTAAGATGATTCTCATTATTATGTAATCTACTTTAATAAGTTAAAAAGGCATAATTTCAAACTGATTGACCAATGCTTTGCTCTATTTTGTTGTTTACAGAATAAAAAAAATCAAACAAATGGGTTCAGGAGCACAACAGTGTTTCCTCTTGTTTATTCTCATTTCCACCTTAATCTGACATTTTAGCTTTAATCTCAAAACTGGGGAAAAAACAACAAAAATGTTTTGTTTTGTTTTTTTCTTCTCTATTTTTTAGCAGCTTTTTTCCTTTGTTTGTGGTGGCAGCAATACACTTCTGTAAAAACAAATATGAATTCAACACTTAAGTGCATTAAATTGTCTCTTGTAATATAACAGAAATAAATTAGTCTTTCCTACTACACAACGTTTGTGTTAAGGAGGCATTCAGCGATATCCCACAACATGAAAAGTAAAAGTAGAAAACAGTACTGTTGTATAACATACAAAAAGATCTACACATGATCAAAATAAAATATTGACTAAATGTCTAAAATAAACCAAGTCACTGGTGATAAAGACAGTCCAGTATCTGTCTGTTAAACACAGATTTGCATTTTTAATAACCATCAAAAAGTTTTGCTTCATCTGTATTTTAATGGTGCTCTAAAAGAAACATGTCCCAAAATACAAACTCATAAATAAAGTTATGTAAAAAAAATGAATGTAATTTATTTCATTTGCTTATTTTTATCATTCATATTAAATTTAATTTAGTGTTAAATATAAAAATATTGTTATATAGCTGATTTAAGGAAGTTGTTTAGGTCCAGATTCAGAGTTTAGCTCTATAATGTTCGATGGGCTTGAGTCATGTTTAATAATAAAACACTGCAGGGACCAGAAAGATTCAAACAGACAAACGCTTGTGTCGCTGCAGCCAAAGGCTCCTGGTGTCCTGCTTTAAAGAACTTCTGTCAGCGTCAGCGCAGATCTCATTTATAAAAGAAAATCAGATGCTGGGATGTTTGGTTGGGAAAACTTGGTCAGAAAACATGTTCGACAAGAAATATTGTTTGAAATCCTAAGATATACGTTAGTTTTTTTTTGCATCTACTGCRCATACAGGTTCAAAGGAAGGATTTGGAGATTGCCTAATTTTCTTCCAGTGGCAGATTTTATGAGACYGACTTTTAGTTGTAATGATAAATGATAACAGATTATATCCAAATACAGTGTTTCAGCATAGATGTAAAATATATATATACCATGGACAGTTACAAAAAAAAACAACCAAAAACCTCCTCCTATGACGAGAAAACCAGATTGTCACTATAACAGATGAATATGAGGCAGAAAAAAAAAAGGCAGTGTGATGTTTAGGAGAYGACACAGCCGGTGTCTTTCTGCGGCTTCAGGTCTGGTTCCTTCATCGGCTTCACCTCCTCRTCTTTGGGCTTGGCCTGCAGGAAAACAAATCACCCGTCACTTACAGAAAACAGGTCATTCATCAGCTGCAAGTGCTGAACAGAAATCAAGTAAAAACAGATTATTCATTATTTATTTTAATGACAAACAGGACATTTTTGAAGAAATGTTAAAATGTCTCAGTGCTGCTGGAATTCTGATCACCATCACGTTTCTTCTCTTAAGTCCAGGAATCATTAAAAACAGGACCAGAAGGTTGAAACCACCATGGATGGGCACCCCATATTGTCCATATAAGCTCCACCCCTCCTTATAAACAACTGGGTCAACGTCCTTTTTTCGGCAATCGTCTTTTTTGACACGGTGGCCCCCCTCGACAGCTGCCTCACAATGACGTCCTCTCGGATCCACGGCACACTTTTCAGGCATTTTGTTCATGGTTGTCCACAATTTTCCGAAACCAAGCATTGACATTAAAACTCGCCTTCATCAACAAGGTCCCCCTCTCCCCCTCTCCCAACTTCTGTATATGGGCGGAGTCAGCATTTCAGCATCCAATCAAAACGTTCATTTCATGCATGATTTGCGTGATGACGTCAATTGGTAAAAGGTCCATTCTGACCCCCGCACACGAAGCGTTAAGCAGGAGTCATATTGTTTTCTYACTGTTTTTTTTCAGTGATTTTTGGTCAACCGTAGCACAGAAACGGCAGCACCAATCAACATGAAATTAGTCAGGACTGTAGAAGAGTCTGACCTACACTGCTCCAGCCAACGGTTTTAAGATAGACCACATAATTGAGGAGGGGGCTCCTTTCAAAGAGGGGGTGTCTGGACATGTAAAAATGCTTATAACAGAAACTGTTCAACATAGAAGCTTCAGGTTTCTTTTGTTGTTTAGCTCTGATGAAGCTCTTTCCATCAGGCCCACCAATCAGTGCCCCCACCCCCCGGACCCCCAATGTATCTGAAAAAGGGGTATCTGGACATGCAAAAATGGTTACTGCTCAAAAACTATAAAGCTCAGGAGCTTCATATTTTCTTTGGTTGTTTAGCTCTGATGAAGCTCTTTCCATCAGGCCCACCAATCAGTGCCCCCACCCCCCGGACCCCCAATGTATCTGAAAAAGGGGTATCTGGACATGCAAAAATGGTTACTGCTCAAAAACTATAAAGCTCAGGAGCTTCATATTTTCTTTGGTTGTTTAGCTCTGATGAAGCTCTACACATCAGGCCCACCAATCAGTGCCCCCACCCCCCGGACCCCCAATGTATCTGAAAAAGGGGTATCTGGACATGCAAAAATGGTTACTGCTCAAAAACTATAAAGCTCAGGAGCTTCATATTTTCTTTGGTTGTTTAGCTCTGACGAAGCTCTACACATCAGGCCCACCAATCAGTGCCCCCACCCCCCGGACCTCCAATTTATCTGAAAAAGGGGTATCTGGACATGCAAAAATGGTTATAGCTCAAAAAATTTAAACATAAGAGCTTCAAATATTCATTGGTTGTTTAGCTCTGACGAGGGGCTAGCCATCAGGTCAACCAATGCCCCACCCCCACCC